AGATCACTCCTGAGAGTGAGGCCATTTCTGAAATCCTCCTGGCTGAATTGATAGCTACGAGGAATGCCACTTTCAAGGAAAGAAAATGAAGAGAACAAGACCTGAGAGGGTCAAACGGAGGAGAGGGTAAAGCTTGTAACACCCTAGGCAAGTCCCGAGATGGATAGCGATGTACCGCAGGTGGTCTAGCATTAGCCGCCCCTTTCAGATATGTACTAACCACCGGGTGTTGTGATAGAGGAACCAAGTTGTCACAGGTAAGACCCGTTGACAAGGCCGCAACCTGCCTGCCGATAGTGTTAGGCGATAAGCCCTTATTTAAACCTCCCAGCAGATATTCCAATATGTTAGGAATGGTGACTGAAAGCGGCCTGATCTGTTGCTTAGTGCACCACGTGCAGAAGTTCCTCCACGTGGCGTCATAAATCCTACTGGTCGAGGGGCGCCTTGAGGCTTGAATCATCGAGATCACCCCAGATGAATAGGATTGCCTAGCTAAACTCTCCCGCTCAAGTGCCAGACGGCCAACTGGAGCCACTATGGATCTGGATGTTGAAGAGTCCCCTGGCTGAGAGCCACTCAGTCCGGGGGAATCCTCCACGGTGGCAAGAGTGATAGATAGCCTGTAACAACGGAAGGAGAGAAAAAACTTAAGGCAGTCCTCCCGGCCACTTGCACCAGAGGGTGTCCGTTCCCTCCACCCCCCGTGTCAGAAACCTGGTGAAGAACGTGGGGAGTTGGGCATTCATCGGGGAGGCAAAGAAATCCAGATGCAGATGACCAAACCTGATCAAGATTTCTCTAAACAATACCGGTTCCAGGTGCCACTCCGATTGGTATACTGTGACCCTGCTCAGGGAACCTGCTTGTCATTTGCCTCCCCCGATATGTGCTCCGCCCTGATAGAACCCAGGGTGGATTCTACCCACAGGCCTAGATTTAAGGCCTCCTGCATGAGTGACCAGGCCCGTGTCCCTCCCTATTTGTTGACATGAGCCTTGGCTGCAACCTTGTCTGTCAGAGTCAAGACGTGCTTTCCCAACACTAGGGAGGAAAACCAGCAGAGTGCTAAGTGGATGGCTCTGAGTTCAAGCCAATTTATGTTGTGGTCTAGATCCGACCGGGACCAATGTCCCTGAGCCAGATAAGTCTCAAGATGAGCACCCCAACTGAACACACTGGCATCTGTGGTCAAGGTGAGCCTGGGAGGCTCCTTGAAAATGGCTCCTTCGGCCATGGCGGAGGTAGCCCACCATAAGAAAGATGACAGAGTATGGTGAGGAACCCTGACCTTTCTGGTGGAAGCAATGAGGTTCCATTTCTGGAAGGGAAGGAGGAACCACTGAAGGCTTCTGGAGTGAAGTCTGGCCCATGGGACGATCCCCATGCAAGAAACCATCCTTCCCAGGAATTGAGACAGCAGGACCAATGGCCCTGTTTTCTCTCTCCGAGCCTGATGTACGAGTCTTCGGATGCTGACCCGACACTCCTGTGAAAGATAAACTTTGCAAGGATCTGAATCTATTATCGCCCTTAGATGAAGGAAGCGCCTTGTGGGGGCCATGTGACTCTTCTGAATTTCACTGAGAACCCGTGAACTTGAAGCGTATGTATCATGATTTCCAGGTCTGACTGAGCTGACTGGAAAGAGCTGGACTGCACGAGGCTATCGTCCAGATAGCATTGCACGTGCACTGGCCTCATCCTGAGGTAAGCCGCCAATACTGCCAAATCTTTGTGAAGACCCCTGGGACAGAAGAGAGATGAAAAGGAAGGGCCCTGTATGGGTAATGCCAATGCTCATAACAAAACCGCAGAAACCTGCGATGTTCTGGAAGTATTGGTATGTGTAAGTATGCCTCTGTAAGGTCTATGGAGGAGAGAAAGTCCCCTTTTTGGATGCTGGCCAAGATGGACCTTTAGGGTCTGCATCTTGAACCTTCTGTAGGTCAGAAAGTGATTCAGACCCTTTAAGTCCAATATCGCCCTCTATCCCCCGAAGGCTTTGGGAACCCCGAACAGAATGGAGTAAAATCCCTCTCCTCTCCGATCTCATGAGATAAGTTCTATGGCCTCGATTTCTAATAAATGGGAGATGGCCGTGGCTACTAGCTCTGCCTTGGTTGTGTTTGCGATACTGGGCACTGTACGAAACGATCTGGGGGAGGAGAGTAAAACTCTAGAGAGAGACCGTATCTTATGGCCTCCCTGACCCAAGAGTCTGTGGTGGAGACCTCCCAGACGTCGCTGAACAGTGTCAGGCGACCCCCATGGGGGAGTCCTCCTTGGCGACACTTGGACCGCCTGTAGGCTCTGCCTTCAGAGCCTCATCCATATCCCCTGGAATTGCAGAAGTGGAAAAAACAGAGAGGTTAGAGGAGTGTCCACAGCAGGCACCTCTAAAAGGGACTCAAAAGAAGAGGAAATGTTGTAAAGTTTCTTTTCTGTGCTATCGGGAGATGGTGATGTGGCCAGAGATGACCACTGTTCCTCTACCGTAGTACTGCTAGAGGATAACACAAATTGCATATATTCATGGTGCATGAATGCCTGAAACTGCCTTTCAGACCATATATTTCGTTGTTTCATAGAACTAGCCCCAACCTCCATTGGGACATACGTTGCCTCAGGACCAGGCTGTATAGAAGAAGAGGAGGAGCGAGGGGGACCAACCTGTTCAATTTCCCCCTGAGAAGACCATGCCCGAGGGGCATCCTGGGAAGGCGCAAATGGAGGCTCAAATGGAGAAGTGTCCAATGGAATGGGGGGAACCACTTCAGCTTCACTGGAGCTGAGCCTTTGGGCTTTGGAGAATTCCCTCTCCAGCGCCTGATGTCTCCTCGAGGTCTCTCGCTTGGCTGCCTTTGGGTCTCTTTGGTGGATAAGTATTTTGTCTTGGCTTCTCCCCCCCGCACCCATATCAGTTGATCTGTGATTTGTTTGTGCAGGGGAAATACCAGAGCCCTGGTATGCCTGGGCGAGGAACTGTCTGCCATTGCAGTCTGGATAATCCGGGTAGGAGATATCCAGAAGTGGGGGGAAACCCAAACACGCAGATCAAGTTGTCAGAGATGGAAAACCAATCCTCGCTCTGAACAACAGCAATGGCAAAGGACAGCCAGACAGTTCCCTAGAACTGCCTGTCTAGGCCTTGTGGCAAAGTACCACAGACTAATTGGAACAGGTGGTTCTGAAATAAAATTCCCTTTTGCTCCACTCACACAGGATAAGTACCTGGACCTCAATGAGTAGTTATAGCAATATTACAGGTATTAAGGATAAGTACCTGGACCTCAATGAGTAGTTAGAATAATAATACAAATACAACGAGGCAACCACAATTGGATCTCCTGATAACACTCCAAGTTATCCTGAGATGATATTAAATGTTTCCCCCCGGCACAGGCCGGACACAGCAGGCCAAGGCAATAATCAAGGCAGGCCCCAATAGATCACAGAGGAACGCAAGGTCCCTACAAAATGGCGGCAGTGCCTGATGGCCTTCTCAAAATGGCGGCCGCAACTGAGCACACAGTCAAAATGGCAGCTGCGCCCTTACAGTGCCTCTTAAAATGGCGACAAGCTGAAAGAAGGGGAAGAGAAGTAACGAAGCCCCTGCTAGGGAAAGGCTTTTAGAAATCCGCCAAATTAAGCAAAGCCCTCTTCGCCCCGTTCGTAAAAGGCACTTGCTGTTTGTTGCGCAGCCTCTGCTGCGATCCGAAACTGCTAGCTTCAGAGAGAGCCTTGTGGCCTTGATGAAAATCGTAAAAGAAGAAAACCTCCGGTCTGTCAGAGCTCTGGAAAGGCTCCGTTCGCCGCAAGCCAGCTGGCCGGCTGATCTGTGCTCCCGCTGATCCTCTTGATTAGGCTGAAAGCCCCACCCGAGAATGGCCTGCAGCTTTCGCACAGGGCCTGTTAGGCTCGAAGCCAAAAGGCCTGATTAAGTATCCAACAGCAAATTGGGCCAAATGAATCCAAAGTTAAAAAAGGAAATAAATTCAATTAAAAGCCAAGTAACCTAGTCTAACTAACGAGCCACAAATTCTGCGCCCTACTGAGCCTGAGACTAAGTCAAAAACTGGGAAGACACACCCAGAGGGAGGCGTGGCTAAAGTTCTGACTTAGTCTCTTCTGAGCAGGAAGGCTGAAATTACCCACTGGTGAATTCTACACTCATCATGCTGGAGAATAAAATAAATGCATCTATTAACATATCCCATGTACTGCTAGCAAAAAAAATCCCAATTGTTTCTATTTACATAGCAAGCCAAGCACAATTTCCCTAAAGCAACATACAAAACTGACTTTGCTAACGTGATACAGCTATACTCAAAATTATTTTACCACAATATATCAATATAAGTATTATTATATTACAGTTTAAAGAGTATAGGTATAAAAGAATGATGAAAAGGCATTATTTACTTCTCTGTCACACTTAGATAAACAAGAAAAACATTTCCTAAATTAATAAAAAAATAAAGAAATATATTTTAGCTACTATATTAACATCCAAGTTCAAATTTTAAATCACTTTAGGCCAAGGGGTTTTAGGCACTACAGGCCAGAAAAACTAGAAGTTATGAAATAATTAGCAGTTCAGATATAGTTCCAATCCAATCCACTTACTACTCATCAAATTACATTAGCTATAACAAAATGACTTTTTTAAAAAACACTTAATAATAGCAATGACCACAAGTGTTTTAAAAAGGATCTAATTTTTGGATTTCAACAATGAAAAGCAAAGAGACATATAAGTATAACAAAATTATTCAATCATTCAATTAATTAAAAAAGACGGAATATAAGTTGAACAGAGAAGTGGCTAAATCCATACGAATACAATTATGTAGCAGCATAAAATATACAAAAAATAAAAGCATTATGTGTTAGAAGTTATTAAAAGCTTTTTCGCAACTTGGAAGAAATGGAAAAAAAATAATGTGTATCAGCCCAGCATGCTGGTGTGCTTTAACAAAGAAACAAAAATTGTATACCTCTTGTAATAGATCTGCCTGTTCAATGGCTTTAAGAACATTTTTCTTGGAGGTCTCTTGAACTTCTCCTCCCAAGAGGAATTCATCCAAAATAAAATAAGCCTTCTCAAAATTAAAGATGATATCAAGTTCACAGACCTAGAAAATATTAAAAAAGAAAGATGCAATGCCCAAAAAGGAGTTCTCTGCAACCATCTATGGAATGCTTCCCTTCCAGAACTATGAATGACCACTACCCTGGCAACACTGTTGACATTTTATAAACTAGCCAAAGTATTTTGTCTCTGTGCATTCAGTCCTTAATTAGCTTATTTATGGCTCACTGATTAGCTATTTATTTTTAATACATTAGTTTATTTATTGATTACATCTATTTGATATTTACTGATGTTAATATCTTAATGGTAATATTGCATTTTTAATTTGACTGTTAGCCTGATCAGCATCTGCAGAATCTTGGGTAGCCTACAGTGCTACATAAATTAATTTTTGTATTACCAATTTTGGACAAAATAAAGGGAGAAAATAATGAATATATGAGTAAACTAGCATTTTAAAGACAACATGCAGAATAACTATGAACTAGTCCTCTTTGCAAAAAATGTCCTTTATTCCTTTAATCGTCTTTAGCCACAAGATACAATGAAAAGCACTCATGGGATTATTACTGTGCTCGCAAGCTCTATGGCCATCTAACTTTAAAAAAAATTAAATTAAAAAGTTAAATAAAGAGTTGCAAACCAAGGCACCAGTCTGTAACAAATTTGCAGTAATCTCTTTGAATACACAGAGTTTCCTAGGGGTAAAGCGTTGGAGATTTGGAGGGAGCTACTGGGTACCAATTTAAATTGGTAGTGTTATGTAATTGGTCATATTCATTTTGATGACATTTTGTGAACAGGCTATTTTTTCAATGTACACTGCATATTTTCAAATTCAAAAATGTTAAATTTTCTGCCATGAAAATATAGAAAAATATCTCATCCTACAACAGAGATTTCCCTGAAGAAGAATTCAGAATAGTATTTTCTCTGGTTTCTTTCTGTCCCACCAGGTAACCACTACTTTTTATGCTGTTTTATGGAATCCTGATTTTATTGATGGGCTTTATTCAAGTGTCAGAGAGAAAAATCTTTCTGCTACTTCTCTTTTCCACTGAGAACCAATGAAACTACCTCTGAGATTTTCAAAAACTAGAAAAAAAATACAGGGAATAACTTACACTTCCAAAATATTTATCAAGTAATTCTACATAACGATGAATTATTTCCAAGGTTATCAACTCATTATCCTGATCTTCAATGGCACAGCAGAAATAGAGGCTTGCATACCTGTAAGACACATATTTAATTTAGTAGGGACATGACAGACTTTTGCAATCTTAACTATGTTCAATAACAGTTTAACAAAAATGTTCAATCTTTAAAATAAAATTAAAATGTCATAATTGGAGAAATTGACAATAAAATGTTAGACTTAGTATTTAAAAGTAAACTTAAGGTAACTATGAACTAGTAAAAATGCTTTTAAAATCCCCTTCACTTTTTTAAAATATTGGTTGTGAAGTATGGTTGTTCAGAACAAGAAAGTTTGTTGAAAAGTTTCTGATCTCTTCTAGAGAGGTGAGTTTTTATTCTCATCATAATTTAAATTACCAGATTGCCTTTTTGTGAGATGAACAGTAATACAAATTTGATTAATAAATACATCTTACAAAAGGGTGTGTGCCCAACAATTGATGGCCAAATGAAAACAATAATATAGAAAAGCACATTAATTAATTTACTGTACAGTACAACTTTCTGTTTCTACTTATAACCCAAACTACAAAAAAGGAGGTTTAGATGGTCAAAGCCAGAAGAAACAAGGGGAAGGGTAGTTATGACATCAAGAAAAGCAGCCATAAAAGTATGGCATTAAAAGTTGTATAATTGTAAGAATTTTCAAAGGGGTCAGTTATACTTTCATTACTAATCTGACCCATTGGGAAGAACAATGGGGATCAAAGACAAGAGCAGCTACCCTGTTCTTTTTATACATGTTCCTCAATGGTGCCCACAATAATGCCGATAAGCCAAAAGAAGAATTTGCACCACAATACTGCTTTTTTCTTCAAAAAATGATGAAATATTTCCTCTTATGTTTTCAGGAACACTCAATTTCATTGTTTCTGTATATACTTATTTATTTATTTTATTTATTTTTAAAATTTATATGCCGCCCAATCCCTAGGGACTCAGGGCGGCGTACAAAATTAAAACAATAAATATAACAATAAACAGTAAAATAAGTACATTCATACAGCATGTCCCAATTGTATCCCGCCCCCCCCCCCGGGGACATCAACCCCAGGCCTGCCGGAACAGGAGAGTTTTAATGCTTTCTTAAAGGCTGGCAAGGTGGGAGCAGTTCGAATCTCGGGGGGAAGTTGATTCCACCAGGTCGGAGCCACCACAGAAAAGGCCCTTCCCCGAGGGCCCACCAGCTGACATTGTCTGGCCAATGGGACTTGAAGGAGGCCCAATCTGTGGGACCTCACCAGTCTCTGGGAACTATGCGGCAGTATGCGGTCCTGTAAGTAACCTGGTCCTAAGCCATGAAGGGCTTTAAAGGTGATAACCAACACCTTGAATTGTGTCCGGAGACCCACAGGAAGCCAGTGCAGCTCGCGGAGGATAGGTGACACGTGGGTGTACCTTGGCGCACCCACAATCACTCTCGCAGCTGCATTCTGAACCAACTGCAGCCTCAGAACGCTCTTCAATGTAGAGCGCATTACAGTAATCCAGTCTTGAGTGACAAGGGCATGAGTGACCGTGAGTAGAGCCTCCCGGTCCAAATAAGGCTGCAACTGGTGCATCAAGCGAACCTGGGCAAAGGTCCCCCTGGCCACAGCCGATAGATGTTGTTCCAAATTTAGCTGTGAGTCCAGGAGGACACCCAAGTTGCGTGCCTGCACTGAGGTAAATTTACCCCCCCCCCAGGACTAATGATGGACCATCAAGATGACCCTTGGGGGGCAAGACCCAGAGCCACTCGGTCTTGTCAGGATTGAGTCTAAGCCTGTTCACCCCCATCCAGACCCTCACATCTTCCAGGCACCAGCACATCACGTCGACTGCTTCACTGAAAGGACACGGGGTGGAGATATACAATTGGGTATCATCCGCATACTGATGATATCTCACCCGTGTCGCCGAATGATCTCACCCAGCGGTTTCATGTAGATGTTAAAAAGGAGGGGGGACAGGACCGAGCCCTGAGGCACCCCATAATCGAGGCAGCTAGGGGTCAATCTCTGTCCACCCGCCAACACCGACTGCGACCTGTCAGAGAGGTAGGAGGAGAACCACCGCAATACGGTGCCGCCCACCCCCACCTCTCCGAGACAACGCAGAAGGATACCATGGTTGATGGCATTGAAAGCTGCTGAGAGGTCAAGAAGCACCAAGATAGAGGAATGACCCCTATCCTGGGCTCGCCAGAGGTCATCGGTCAGTGCGACCAAAGCAGTCTCAGTGCTGTAGCCGGGCCTGAAACCAGATTGAAAAGGGTCCAGATAATTAGTTTCATCCAAGGATCGCAAGAGTTGGGACGCCACCACCTTCTCTACAACCTTCCCCACAAAGGGGAGGTTGGAGACAGGACGAAAGTTCTTCAAAACATCTGGGTCCAGGGAAGGCTTTTTGAGGAGGGGCCTCACCACCGCTTCCTTCAAAGGTTGCGGGAAAGACCCCTCCATCAAGGAGGCGTTGATTATCGCCTGGAGCCAGCCTCGTGTCACCTCCCTACTGGCAGAAACCAGCCAGGAGGGGCATGGGTCCAATAAGCAGGTGGCGGCATTCATTGCCCTCACAGCCTTGTCCACTTCATCAGGGGTCACAGGCTCAAACTCGCTCCAGATAACATGACTAAGACCAGCCCCCGGCATCTCGGCTGGCACTGCCCAGTCGGAGTCCAGATCTCTCTGAATCTGAGCGATTTTGTCCGAGAGAAACTGAACAAACTCCTCAGCTCACCCCTGCAAGGGTTCCTCCACCTCCTCCACTTTAAGAAGGGAGTGGGTCACCCTAAACAAGGCGGCCGGGCGAGATTCTGCGGACACAATAAGTGCGGAAAAGTGAACACGCTTTGCCTCCCTTATCGCCACTAAATAAGTCCTAAGATAGGCTCTTAATAGTGATCGGTCAGATTCAGAGTTACTGGCCCTCCAACGTTGCTCTAGACGTCTCTTGTGGCGCTTCATCTCCCGGAGCTCCTCAGTAAACCAAGGCGCCCTCCAGGGACCACTACCACAGAGAAGTCGCAAAGGCGCAAATACTCTTTCAGTCTGACTTTGAGAAGAAGTGTGTTTAACTGAGAGTTTTGAAATACAAACATCCAAAAAGGCAAATATAGCTTTGCTTCCACAAACAAGATAAAAATTAAACATGGTAGAAATTTTTGCATGGTTATTACACAAGGACTATGAAAACCTTAATGTAGCAATCTTAGGAGACAATCTTTCATCAGTTTCTTAGTGCTGACTTATATAAGTTATAAGTTAAGGCATATAAACCATTTCTAAAAATTTCAAACTGCATAAAAATTTGTCTTCAGCACATATTTATATGAGTTATTTAGTCTTTCTGAAATAGAATGTTACATAAATTGGGAAGAGTCTATGTATCAATACGGAAGTACACTTTTTTCCCCACACAGTGATGATGTATATATTGCAGCTTTATTAAAACAGCTCTTCAGGTTATAGTTAGTTAGGTATTTTACATAATTAGTTCTCACATTATGTTCCACTGACTATTTGATTATTACATTGTTTTGGAGTCTGTGAAACACTTTGATCATCACTGAAAAAACATAAATCATTGAGTTCTTTATTTCACATGAAAATATATGGCTACAGCATGGCAATAAACAAAAAAAACATTGCTATTCTGTTTTCAAAATGCATCCATTCTTTGACTGAACAAGAAAATAAGGTATTTATAATTTTAGTAAACAATTCTTAAACATTATGCTTGAATTCTTTGGGAAAATTGTCACAAAACATCTTTGATTAGAGATTACAGTTTTCTTTTCAACATCACTCCAGGTGGTCACTTTAGCAATCTCAATTTAAATGTAAGTAGCACACATCCAATCTCCCATAGCACCACTATGTTTAACGCACATTAAAAAACTAAAGTAATGAATAGGATACTTCAATAGAAGTTTATCCTTATATTGAATACAGCATTAATAAATTAACTTACACAAAACCTGTTATAAAAAATGATGTCAAGTACTAAGATTTGGGAGCAGTTTCAAAATTCAAATCAAAATTCGAATCATACAGAATTGGTGTCAGACAAATGTTCAGCTAAAGATATAAATAACCATTACAATGGCAATCTATGAAAAATGTATGTTTAGTATAGAAAAATTTTGGTGGACTTTCTATATTTGATGAAATTAGATTCTAGCTTGAAGTAATTTTTTAAACCACAGCAAATAAACATCTTTTGAAACCTATATGGCAACTGAATACAGAACTATTTTATATAGTGCAATGTACCCGTGTGATACACTGGTGCAGTGTACCAGTGTGGTAAGTACCTGAAAAGGTGGGAGATCTATCTATCTATCTATCTATCTATCTATCTATCTATCTATCTATCTATGTATCTATCTATCTATCTATCTATCTATCTATCTATCTATCTATCTATCTATCACATACACACGCACACATACAAAATAATTGCATAATTTTTCACTATATTTTAAAATATATAACTAGCATTTTAGGCATGAATTAAATAAACATTTTCTATAATAAGGAAATAAAACACTTGTTTTTCTGATCCCATTTACTTTTTCTCAGATGTGTTCATTTTATGGTTATAAGGCAATACAACCTTTTGTAGACAATCTTCAGATCTCTCCATTCCAAGAAACTGCACATTTTCGGTTTACGGGCTAAGACTGTTTGAACAAGTTCTCTTGTGATTTTCTTCTTTTCTTTGTCAGATAATGGGACATACCATTTTTGAAGTCTCAGTTTTCCCTGGCGACTAAAAAGCAACATAAACTGCATCTGTTGAATTAAATAAAATATTTCATGTTAGCCTTTCTGACACATTGTATAACGTCTAAGCCAAGGCTTTTCAACCAGTGGTATGGGTACCACCTGTGGTACATTGGCACCTGGCAGGTGGTATGCGACCATCCTAGAAAAATGGTAGCAGGGGAGGGGAATGAACTGAACCGGTGGCAGCACCACACAAGCCTAAGTGGGAAATGGCTGGAGCTGCAGAGCTGTCAGGGCTCAGTGGAAGCGCCAGGATCAGCGCCAGGCTCCAGCTGGAGCTTGGCGTTGATCCTGGTGCTTCTGCTGAGCCCAGAAGTGCCAATCAGCTGGAATGTTGCAGCATCTCCAGGGTCCTGTGATTTACATTCAGATGCTTGGCAACTGATTCATATTTATGACAGTCACAGTGTCCCAGGGTCATGTGAAGTGACCAAAACCTGTTGCAACCACCCAGCAGACGGGGGGAATAAAAACCAAACACCCCCCCCACCCCACTCCCACTGCCAATCCTCAAAAGAAATGCTCACAACAATGAAAACCTCGCACAGGAGGAAAAGCACTGCCGGGCAGGCAGGCATCTTGCTCGGCTGTGGCTTGAGGGCACTTTTTTCAGTGCCATTGTAACTTTGAACAGTCACTAAGTGAACTGTTGTAAGTCAAGGACTACCTGTACTTCATCACTTTTTTCCTTTTTTATTTTTTTGGTCATCAAGTTTTTGACACCTTGCTAGGCAACTGGTGGTACTCAGATATTGCCATATCCTAAAAGTGGTACAATGGGTGAAAAGGTTGAAAAGCCCTGGTCTAAGCCAACTTTCTTGCACCAACATTTTTCTTCAATTAAACTTTAAAACACTACACTTCTCAAATTTTGTAGTGCATACTGTAATGCCTGTTCCAATCCAATATCCTTCAGGTGGCAGAACACCATTCTCACAATCTTAAATCAACAGTAGTACATTATACCAGAAGTTCAGTAGGTTCAAAACTATAGGATATGCCGCTGTATTTTATACCAAGTATATATAAAATGAATATCACAGTAATGAGTATTCAAAAATTATCAACTTGATAGTTTTATAAGTGCAAAGGAACTTTAAATATTCTAAGCTACTACTTATTCTTTTTAATCCTTGCCATTGAAGCTTAACACCTCAAAAACCAAGATCATGGTGGTCAGCAAACAACCCGTTAATTTACCGATAAATTCAGAAAGAATACCACTAGAAAAAGTTGAAAGGATCACGAACCTCAGTTCTAATCTACATGAAAGTGGGACATGACCGCTGAAGTAAAGACAAGGATAGAAAAAGCCTGAACAGCATTCTTCAAAATGAAAAAGATCTTCTGCAGTCACAACATAAGCCTAAGACTGAAATTCGGGCTTGTCAGATGTTATATTTTTTCTATCCTGCTCCATGGAGTAGAGAGTTGGTCTCTGACAGAAGGCCACCTGAAGAGACTAGAAGCATTTGAAATGTGGATTTACAGGCAGCTCTTACGTATAAGCTGGGTTGACAAGATCAGAAATGAGGAGGTGATAAGCCACCTGGGAAAGCCAAGGGAAATCATCAAAACAATTAAAAAACAAAAATTAGAATATTTCGGACATGTGATGCGACACCCAGAAAAATACGGCATACTCCATTTAATCCTCCATGAAAAGACTGAAGGCAAACAAGGTCCAGGCAGAAGAAGAACATCGTGGCTTCAAAATCTAAGGGATTGGTTTGGAGAAAACTCAGCAGCACTTTTTCGTGCGGCTGCTGATAAAAACAGGATCGCCAACATGATTGCCAACATCCGATAACGGATATGGCACAAGAAGAAGAAGAAGAAGAAACTTTGCCAGTGCTGTTTTATATTCCTGGAATTTATTCTTTAATGTTAGAAAGTTTTTTCTGCTAGAAAAATCTATTATTTCATTTAAGTATTTCCAGTATAGGCCTATACTATTTGGATGCAGTTTCAGGTGCACAAAATATTAAACACAATCTATTCAAAATCCTGTACATCAAAGTGTCTTAAATAAATTATGTGTGGTATTCCTCTTGCATATTTCAAAACTGCACAGAAAAAAATGTTAGACAGAATCACCATCTCAGTCTAAGCACAATATAAAGTGCAACCTTATATTGGGGGTGACCAGGCTGATTGCATGCCTCATGAGGACACTAACAACTGATGTGTGGCTGCGCGCAGCGCAGTGACATTGATGGGCCAAACCACTGTGAGGTGGTTTTTTTCAAAATTCAGATTGAGACCAGCTTTTACATCAAAGCCGGAACTAGTGAGGCTAAATGCAGGCGAGCAGGTGGCGGGCGTGCTGACTATATGTTCTATGACCTGACCATTAAAATGGTCACACAATGCATTGTACTTCTGGTGAGGGAATGAGACGGCCATAGGAGGCTGGGTCTCCAGCCTCTCAGTCCGGTTTCACTTTGCCTAGCATCTCTTAAAGGGACGGAAAGTTGCCCTGGAGGGACAACGAAGAAAGAGGGATCTTTCAGGAGCTTGGATTTGGTGGCAATCAATCTAAGCGTACTGAATACCTCCTCTAAAGGGGCGAAAGAAAGGTTTCCAGAAGAGCCGAGGCAGTCCAAGTTGTCTGCAGCCGGAAGGGAAGCTATGAAAAACAGCTGATCTTCAACAAGTTATGTCTGGGTGAGCTGAAATCTTTTCCTTGTGTTTGAAAATATTGAGACCCTGAAAGGGAGAACTTGAAAGAGTAAAGACCCCCAGAGAGACTTTTGGAGCAGCAATTTAACATTAAGGGGAAATGTTAAATGAATAACAAATTACCGGGCTACCGGAGTGTGGAGAGTTGATAAATAAGCCAACGAGGACATTTACTGGCGAAAAATAAGAATTAAAATAAGAATTAAGAATTAAAGAATTAAAAACACAGTGACCTTGAAAAGCTTGAGTAAAACAAAGTCTTGGTCTGAGATAATAAATGAAAGACTGTTTATAGCTATACTTGTTGACATTAGCTAAAGACTAAATAGACGTTATCTGGGGAAAAGAAAAAGAGAACATTTTAAATCCAAGAAGAGACTGGAGGAGGTAGTTTTGCCTCACAACAGCTGATTCCTGATTACACTTTGGATATAAGTTTAAGACTGTGAGCAATAAAATGAGTACATCTAATATTTCCAGACTTGCAAAGAAAACCTCTTCAGCACCCTCTGTCGGACAAGCCAGCCCAACAACCCAGAATTCTGTCAGCACATTGCTACAGCGTGAAAAAGCAAGTATGGCCCAAGAAGAAACACAGGCCTCTTTAAAATTAATTCAACAAATTTTGCAGAAAAACCATGAGGAAACACAAAGTAAACTGGAGAAAGTAAGTGAAGAAATTACGGATATAAAGGCACAATTTGAAGCTCAAAATCAAAAGATTATAAAAAATGAACAGAAAATCCAGGAAGTGGAAAATAAAACTCAAGACATTGACAAAAAGGTGGAAATGTTACTGCAAAAGAATGAAGGACTGGAAGAAACAAATCAAGAGCTAGAACCGGCTATGGCAATGGTAGAAATGAGAGAAGGGGAACATTACTTGAGGTTTCAAAATATTCCTGAACACAGTGAAGAAAATATAGAAACGGTGATTATTGAGCTGTTGGCAGAACTTTTAAACACAGACCGAGTAGATATTCAGAATGAGACTGATCAAATTTTTCGTATGAGTTCAAGCTATGCAAGAAAAAACAGATTACCAAGAGAAGTGCATGTGAGGTTCATGAAGAAATCAACAAGAGATGAAGTACTGAGAAAAGTGAGAGAGGAACCCTTACAATATAAAAATAAAATTGTGGTCCTAAAACAGATACCCAGGAAAGTGAGGGAGACACTACCCGGAGACACTACCATTTTCTAACTACAAAATTGATTGCCAAAGGCGTAAATTTCAGATAGCTAATACCAGAAGGCATTTTAATAAACTGGAACAATACAAGATATCGACTGGACTCAATTTGGAAAGCAGAGGACTTTGAAGTAAGAAATAAAGTAATTTTGGATGAAAGATTGCAGCAACAAGAGGATAAGCAGATGGGAGAGACAGCCCAAGGAGCAATGGCACAAGCAGAACAGAGGGGGAAAAGTGAACAAACAGGTAAAGGAGAAGGAACTGCCAGAGAACAAAGGACTACAAGATCAACTATGCCAAAATACAAGTAATGAAAGAGGAAATGGAGAAAAAAAATGAGATTTTTTGGTAAACGTAAATGGATTAAATTCCCCAATAAAAAGAAATAAAATTTTTAGGAAACTTCAGAAATTAAATATAGATATAATCTGTTTACAAGAGACACATATAAAAAAACATTACAAATTTTTGGAATACCCAAAAATGGGGAAGCTTTGTTATACATCAGCACAACAAAAGAAACGAGGGGTGGCGATATACGTTAAAGAGACAATAGACTCTAAATTAATATATTCAGATGAAGAAGGAAGAATTGTAATGGTTGAAATATATTTGCATCAAAAACAAATATTGTTAGTGGCAATTTATGCTCCAAATGATAGTCAAGAACAATTTTATCAAAGATTACACAGGAAATTAATAGAAATGGAATACCAAAATATTTGTTTAATAGGAGACTTTAATGCGATAGTAGATGGAACAATGGACTACAAAAGTGTCAAGCCCCCAAAGGCTTGACATACACACGGGGACGAGGGAACGCGGATGGCACCCCCCCCAACCCCCGAGTATGCCAGAACGCACGCAGCCACAACTGAGGACCATACCAGGCAGGGAGCCGGGGCTGTGCGTCCTTACGACCTGTTTACCAGTGCCGCCATGCCGATATGGACAGACGCAAGTTCGCCTCCGGATTCCGGTCCTTCCGACAACCAGCTGCTGCTGGCCCGTTCCGAACTCCAGCTGATGCCGGCATGCCGGGGGGACACTGGTGCATAGACACGGAACCCAAGCAGAGCAGCACACTGCAAGATAGAGCGCGGCGGAAAAGACTAGATAGCCGTGCAGG